TATATATATGCGTATTGTGCTATGATTCCATTTATAAAAATATAAAATACTGTGTGATAAGAACACAATTAAATAGTTTAAGTTAGATCTAAAACCAATTACTGTAATATTCTGGAATAATAAAAGATCACATGTATATATGTTTGTATATATGTATACATACATATATACATACATATAAATATATAAGATAGATAAAAAAATCATTACACGCTCGTATATCAAAACATTGCAAAACATCAATAATTAAAAAGCGAATTATAAATATTTATTAATACCGCGCGAATTATTTAATAATTATATTCTTAACATTGCTCATCTTTTTTTAATATCAGCATCTTGAATTTCGATATAGTTGTTAAACTACTTTAGAAAGATTCAAACTTGAGTAAAGTTTGTTGCCATTTTCTAAATCTAGCCTTCGTGTCATAAATTCATAATAACATTGTTGTAAATTATCATTATTATTATTATGTTTAAATTGAATAGATATAATTTTAATTTATTTGACTGCTCTCTAATCAAATATTACAATTCAGTAAGAGTATTCACTGATGCCCGAAGACGAGATTTAGCGATATAATCATCATGTTCTTTGTTGGTCCCAGCATCATTCATTCGACAGACAATCTCATCTTTCAAAGTTGCAAGCACTCTACGATCTTGTTTATTGTGAATTGGTGCGTTTTGAAGAGCTTCCTGAACGTCCAATAGAGCATCCTCGAACATGCCTAGATCTACGCGCGCTTTAGCTCTAGCGTAGAACGCTTCATAAGAAATGGGTCGGATTCTAAGAGCTTCATTAGCGAGTTCAATAGCTTCGGTACATTCCTGTTAAAGAATCACGTTATTGTTCATAAAAGTAATATAAATTTGTCATTGTGAACAATTAGGCCTATGTATAAACATCTAAAAACCTAGATTACTAACATTCATCTTGCGTTTGCATCGGCTCAAATTTAGAAGAAAGTTCATATGAAGTTGTGTAAAAGTTTGAAGCATCATATGACTTTGCTCCTGTCCTTGGCAATCTTCTTCTGGCGAAGTTGGGAATTTTCTAAGAGCATATGCATATCGATGCGATGCTTCTTTCAGCCTATTCTTTCGATATAAAACATTACCATCTTCCAAAAGTTTATTTAGTAGAATTATTAAGACGTCTGGTTTTCCCGCTGCCATAGCCCATGTAGCGGGACCGAGTTTAGCACCACGACGTAAGAAGCATTGAACGACTGGTATATTGCGACATCCGATTGCTCGGTCTAAAGGTCGCATACCGTGGAGATCAACATGTTCCACCGCGGCTCCCTTCTCAAGTAACAGTTGTACTAGCTTTGGATTACCCTGTATATATTTTGATAAACATTAGATCGCGAAAATAATACACGATAACATGGGTTGTGCATACGAGAAAAAGATTTACCTGGAATGCAGCTAAATCCAAAGGAGTTCTACCAGAGTTGTCACTTGTATTGATATCAGAACCGCGATCGAGTAACATTTGTACGGCAGTTATGCGTCCCCTGACGCAAGCCCAACTGAGAGCGGTGAGTCCCTCCTTGTCTTTTGTTTTTAAAATTGATCCTTTATCGAGGAATAGCTCAAGTAGATTAATGTGACCTTCGCATGCGGCCAACATTAAAGCAGTACGACCAGCGAGATCACGTTGTTCTAGAAGTGATATAGTTTCGTCCGATACTGTATCAATACTGCTGGACAAATTTCCTATAAAATAATGTAATAATCATATAACTTCTTATACATAATTGACGTAATCGAATCCATAATAATTTGAACACGATCTTAAGTTATATTTAAAAAGGGAAAAACGAACCTTGCAAAAGTCGTTCAGCGGTACCCCAATGTCCCTCCTTGGCGGCGAGCATGAGAGGAGAAAGACCTTTCGTGTTTACAACTAGAGGATTAGCACCGCGAGCTAAAAGTGCAGAAACCGTCGCAGTCGAACCGTTTGCAGCGGAAATTGTTAGAGCGGTCTCGCCTATCAATGTATCGGGACGATCTATGATCACCTCTGCCATATCTAAAAGATACTCTACAACCGCTTCATGACCTTGTGATGCAGCCGCGACAACGGCTTGCTGGGCGGCTTCTTCTCTACTTATTTCTAAAACGCCATTTTCTGCTTTACTTTCACTGGTTGGTATCCAGTCGCAAGCAAGAAGATAACCAACCACGGATAATCTTCCGTGTCTTGCCGCATGCACCAGAGAACATTGGCCGGCCATATCTACATGTCCTAATGAGGCTCCAGCAGCGGCCAATCTGTTAAGTACAGATTAATAATGTATAGATATAACAATAAATAAACAATCACATTGTTCAATATATATGTATATACATTATTTGAACAATATATTATATATACAATATATTATATATATACAATATATTATATATTATATACCTTCTGACAACGTCACAATGTCCCCGGGCAGCTGCCAGCGATAGCGCGGTACAACCTTGGCTGTTGGTCAATTCGACATCGGCACCAAACTCAAGAAGGAGAGACACCATCTCGACGGAACCTTCATGCGCGTACATGCAAAGAGCCGGTGCGTTACCTAAATATTCAGTAATGTGATTCGGTGATGCACCTGCCAGCAGGAGCAATCGTGATACTTTCACATTTGGGCTATAAATGTTTCGAAGCGTGCACAATGCCGAGGAAATGCATTCGGTCGATAAAGTCAGCCAAATTGCCTGAGGATTAATGGAGCTCAATTAAGCTACACTTCTACATTATTCTCGATTACTATATCTTGTGTTGGTTGTAAACATACTTGTAAATCGCGTGAAGGCCAGCATGGAGCTACACCTCTATAAACGTGTGCCTTTAATACATGGTGACCTAGTTCTAAAGCTTTGTCACCATCCAATGGCGCTTGAAAGCGAGATAGTCTGAATGCTATTGCTGCATGACCAAGTCTATAGTCACACAGGAATTTTGTTGATTCTCCCTCATCTCTTCTCATCAACCATTCCCTGAACGATGGATGGAAAAACATATATGTATTGTCCAAGCGTTTCACAAGAAAGCCAGAGAGCATCTAATAAGGAAAAATGATATCATTATATTTAAGTTGATGAATACGCGAGAGTTGATATAACATTTATATAACACATTGTGTACTGTCAAATTATATGTATATAATTATATGTATATATTAACAATCATGTGTCTACAAGTAATATGTAAGAACATTTATCAATTCAAGATAAAATAATTCGCGCATTTATTTGTTTAATTATTTTTAATAAATCCAAATTGTAATATATATTATCATTATTAAATTATTTATTATATTTTTTTTGCAACTTACATTGTTTTTGCACCGTCAGTAAAAAAACAAAGACAGAGAGAAAAAAAGAGTTAGAAAATTACATATTATATTCATTTTAAAATAATCCATTATGAACCATATACACATACATACACACACATACACACACACTCACAGTTATAGCACTATATATTAAATTATTTAACATATTTACCTTAAATCTCTGTAAAAAATCATCCCATGAAATAAAATGATCTATATTTAATGAATTGATGGAATAGAAAATTTCAGGTAGAGTCAATGGGTATAAAGCTGCCAGACAAACAGCCAGAAGAGGTTGTACTTTGTCGAATGATGCTGCCGTAGGGAATCTCAAGTTAAAATGTAATTGAAAAATTTGCGCGAGAGAAACTGGTAATACCTAAGAAGTAAAATAATTTGTTATAAATTCTATTCTATTTATAATATCGTCAAGATAAGAACAGTGATAATATAATTGCGATTATAGTTAAAATAGAGATGAAGATTATGATTGCACATACCTTGTAACTCGCAGATTTGGCGACTAAATGCCCGCTCTCGATAAGATCGAGTGTCAACTTAGCAAAGAGAAAACTACCTCTGGCTAGAGCGAGCAAATGTGAAGAGAACCTTGTCTGATTCGCACTGCATGATGATTCTGCCTTGCCGTTTACCGACGCAGTTACATTCGATTGAATAGAAGGACTTTGCGCTAATCTATAACCGACGTAATCAGATAAATCCTTCGCGATGCTGTTACTGATCGCATCATTCATAGTCTTGTCTAACGAGATTCTTGTATATGGTAATTGCTTTGCGCAATCCAGCAACTGTGTCCTGACCGTGCAAACGATTTTTAACCAACTGGGAATGTTAGGTGCGTGCCTCGTTAGGAAAGAAGCTATAGTGTCACCTCTGTCCGGTCTGTGATACTCCGCTTCACAAAAGGCATCAATCAATATTACCTGAAAAAAAAATATATCTAACAATGTCTGCGACGTAGTATAATATTTATCGAGCTTATGTTAATATGTTTACTTATCAGTGAAAAAAACATTGTAACTATTTTGTTTACCTACCATATTCGAAGCTGGCAATCTATTGGCTTTCTTCAAAGTCAAAAGCGGTTCAATAATACCTCTCGAAAGCGCGAGATCTGGGTCAACTGTACATTCCCTTTGTGACAACGAGCCTTGAAGATGGGGTTCGGACAATAGGTATTCCCTATATGAGATCAATTGAGGAGCTTGGCAAAGTTGTGCCGCTAACGAGTGAATTAAATCTGGGACTAGGCAGGTACTATTATTGTCGGCTTGACAAAAGTGATAAGCCACAACGTGCGATGCTAATTCGCGCACCTATAATTCGATATAACTAATTTGCATCTTTTCTATAAAATTTCGAAGTTGTAATAAATGCTGGTAATCGCACCTTTTCGTTAGTATGCCGAATATTAGCTCGTAGAGTAGCGTTAGTATTCTGTTTCTCTCTTTCGTCGCATTCCTCATTCACTTCCGCAGATCTTGGCTGTTCTCTCCTTCTTCCGAAACAACTATGTTCCACCAATTGCAAGACGAGTGCAGTTTTTCCCGTGCCTGGCGATCCGGAAATCAAAATGCCAGGACTGGAGCCATTGATCACGGATTCTAATTCTTGTAACAACCACTGTCGTCCTGCGAAAAGTGGGTCTTCTTCTAATAAAGGCACCTCGAAGAATAATGGCTTCAAGTTTAACTGCGTTGAACTATGATGTTGAATGAAACGTACTAAAATGAACAGGATATGGATCTTTATCATACATGTATTCGCGAATGCGTTGCATATTTGGATTCGAGCGGATAAAGAATAAATATTACATTTCGCATCCAATCCAATTGAACCTTTAGTGTTGGTTCTCCCCGATCTTCGGACACAAGATCGTCTGTTTTTCAATTGGCCGAGCTCGTCAGTTTGACCCACTTGTGCGGCGTTGACAGAATGTCTTCTAGGCACGAGTGGACTGGAGCTACCGTTCGAGAGGCCTGATACTGATACGGACATAGACATGGACATTGACGTGGATGCGGATAACGATGTAGAAATGGATGCCAGACTACCAGCACTATCGCAATCTCTACAGGACTTAGTCTTTCCCTTGATCTTAGTCTTCGGCTTGACAGGACATCGCAGTGCCGCCGCAGCTTCCGCTTCACTCGACGTGCCCGTCAAAGTTGACACTGGGCTCGTATTCGTTGATGCCAATGTCTGCGTTTCAAAGCTGGTCAGGCTACTGAAGGAGGCTGCAGAGCTATCATGCCCTTGTACCGGAGTTCGCGAAGGACATGCGCTTGATTCCACACTCGCGTTTGCTCGATTAGATCCCAATAGCAGACCCAATCTCATGTACAAATCCGATTGTGATGATTTTCTGGTTTTCGAAGATAACGGTTTCACGCAACCACCCTCATCGTCTGCGAAAGAGAAAAGTTAATTAGGCGATATAGAAATATAAAAAGATTGGATAGAATCTATGAATCCAGATAGTGCTGACCGAGACTGCAAAAGTGCTTCGTGCGGTGTATCTAAAAGTTAAATAATTCACGGGCAAAACGAAAATCACACTTTACTAATTGTAAGACACGTTTAGGCGGATATATTATCGTTTATCGAAACGCTATTTTAAATTGAAGTAAACTACTATCAAAAGTTGCAGTGTCGCAAACGCAAATTGTGCACTTGCAAACATTGTATGTTGATAAATTTTTATTCTATCCGTCTAAACATATCGTTTATAATGCAACGTATTGAACACTCTGCAAAAGGTGAGAAATCAAATGCTAAATCCAAGCATAAACATCGACAATACAAATAACAAAGAATTTTAAGAATAGCGCATCCATTGAAATATATCATATATATCTTACCGATTTTAATTTATTCAGAAGTTTTCAATCTATTTTATAACCCTTTAACAATAAACTCATTTTAAAAATGGACGAGTTTTAATAAATTTGAATAAATACCGATTTAATTTGGAAATCAGTAATGATAATAGAAAATGCAGGTGCGTTTATAAAAGATGTAATATAATTATTTGTTTTTTTTTTATTAAAAAAGGATAAAAATATGACTCGGCACAATTTTAATGAATTCGTGTAATAAAATAAAAACTAGTGATGTTATAAGGATAATTACAAATTATGTATCATGCTTCTAAAAAGAAATACTACGAAAGAGAGGTTATCGGAAAAGAATTATTTTTTTCTCAGTACAAGGAATGTCGTACAAAAGACGCGAGTTTATGCTCGCGTGCGTGACAGTTTTTATTTCTTTATATTCATTAGCAAATTCTAAGCATCTCAAACGTAGCGATACAGCATCAAATTTTAAAAACTCTTCCTGCCTGCAATTCTATTCGTCGAATTGATGAGTTGATTCAACCCGTCGTTAGCCGTGCCTTGACTACTGCTCCACAGAGACTTGATTTTTCCCAATACAACACCGGGCCATCTCGCTTTTCCTTCCATGGACGAAGTCCAAACTATATGTATGCGTGCAATTTTGGTATTATCAAGATACTTTACACGACTTGAATCGCGAAATTTTCTCTTTGAGAGAAGAGTGAAACAAATATATAGAGATTTAATAGTAAGAAAAAAGTAGGTACCTGATAAAGCGGAAGGATTATCATTTATGATCGGTTCAGGTGAGGATGCCGTATGTCTCGAAGATTTCTGGGCAGCAAAGGAACTTCTGAGCACTTTTGGATTGAGGAAAAATCTTCTTCGTTGATTCGGTGGCGTAGGACAGCCTACGGTATCAATTTTATATTTTTAATCTTTGTTATATTTTGATACAAGAACTAGATTTATATGTTTTGTTTTCTACATACTTTGCGACATTTTAAATTTTTGTCGATCTTGAAAAACAGAAGAAACTGGAAGTGGCGAAGCCTTGCTTTTCAAGTTCTTGGCTACTGTTATCAACGAGAGATTTTCTGCCTCGCCTCGCTGCTGAAAATAAAGTAACAAATAGATGAGCAAGTTCGTGCGAAATTACTATTGCGTGGACTTGTGCGACCAGTATAATAAATGAGGAAATAACGTGGAAAAATTGCTTCCTCTTCTGGCATTTGTTGTTTCTTTCTACAAAGGCATAATACAAACGTACAACATCGTTTCGCACGTTTAAGAATACAATACATTGAAGAAAAGGAAAAACAGCAATTTAACGCGTTATTTCATTTTTCCCTGACGACAAAAGGTCTTACGTGTAAAACTTGCGACGGCAGATTAGCTCTCGTGGTGATCTTGGTGCGTAACCTGGGGCTGCCGCAGAGGGAATTCACCGCCGATGACTCATCGAGCCAACCATCCGTAGGCGCAAAGGTGGATAGTGGAATCGAGGAAACGTTTCTAAGAGATAGTTCTTCCAACCCGTCGTCGTCGTCATCATTGAGTTCGTAGCCACGCAGGCAAAGTGGACAGACTTCGCTGCGAAATAGACAGGAGTAGCAGCGTTCATGACCGCAGGAATCAATCAGACGACGCTTTTTGCCCTTGTCGAACGGCATTTCACAGGATGGGCATGTAGATCCACCCAGCATCCCTGTCGATTCGACCAACGCTCGTATCTGCGCCAAGTCTGCAAAGAGCATAGTATCATTTCATTTCCTGATAATACTTTCTCTTCCTCTTTCGAAAATAGTAAAATTATATTTTATTTAACAATCCAAATCCAAGAGCTTCCACCGTTTAGGATGGGGATATAAAAAAATAAGTATAAAGTATAAGAAACAAGAATACATTCAATAACGAAAAGTTGAAATGTAATTTCGACAAAACTTGCGCGAGTCAAAGTCAACGTTCAATTTTAAAGGCCATGGCTATTCGCAGATTCGACAGTAGACTCATCTATTGTGAATAAATTGAATAAAATTTAACATTAAAAATAATATAAGAAAAAGCTCAATTTATAAAATTAACATAATGAGAAATAGGGCTACGAGTCAAGCAAGATGCTATATTATTAAAAAATCTTGATGCTATATTATTAAAAAATTTAGTATGTCGGTTAATGAAGAAAGATACGTTCTCTCATGTAGCAACGATGCTCGTGATCACGCGAAAATAAATCAAGTAACGCGAATCCGAGGCATTATTGTATATAATGAAACATTCTATTGTAGAAAGTAAGGTCAAGAAATTTCGCGCGCGCACTTCTCTCGATCGTGACCTTTTTAATTGCTTCATGAACGATATTATATTTACTCAATTAAGATTTAAAGACCACGAGAATTTCTTTGCATGTATTTGCGTTATTCTGTCCGGATCTACAATAGATTTTTAAGCCTTAAGCCGTAAGAGATTGATGAATTATAGTCAATTCTTCTTGCATTACTCTTCGCATCGATTGTAATTGATCAATTTCTTACGGCTTAAAACATCTATTGTAGATTTGGACTAATTCTCAGACATTATATAGAGTAAAAAAGTTGCGCAATATCATCAACAATTGTAAGAGTTACAAAATCAATCCCTTAATTTCGTCGAATATATTCAGTATTTGTATGCTAGATCGCGCTTTGCGATCAAGCATCAATTAATCCAAAAAGAACTGGCCGATTGTGGAAAACCGTGTAGTGAAGACATGCAATGTACTAGTCAAAAACAAAGACATAGACATCCAAAGAATATGGAGGAGGATGAAACGAGAGATAAACGTGTGAAAATTAAATGAATCCCTTCGAACGAATAAAGTGGCAAACTGGGAAATGGAAAAGAAGATGAGAGGAGAAGAGAAGGAAGTCGCACGACCTCTCATGCCGGTAACTCCGCGTGAGGCAGGTGCAACTCGGCGCGGCGCGGCGCGACGCAGAGAATTGCCTGGGTTACCGTAAGCTGGGTCAACGCACTTGCGAGTCTGGTGCGCGTGGTTCGTGTCGCAGAGACCTCGCTTCTCGTTTTCTCATCGGAAGACTTCACTGACTCACACATCTCAGTCGTAGGATCCAGTTTCCACTATCATTGTGCTTCGTCTCGCACATCGATCTCGCGTCGATCCCGAGTCGATAGATGCCAATCGACGTCTAATGGATAGAATCATCTCGCGATATTCAGTCGGTTAGATTTAACAACTCGCACTTTGCAGTACACG